AGAGCTTGTAACACTCCAAAGAGAAAGGAAAAATTGAAATCGCATCATATGACCCCTTTAAATTGCACAGTAATGGGATTAACAACATAGAAAAAATGATTTGACAGCGATTAGTGTACCTGAACAGAGCTGTTACTGACATTTCTTCAACATTCTCAATACTTCAAATGAACGAATATGAATGTATTATTAACATTACAGTAATATTCCACCCAAAAATGTAGATGAGTTTGTTTCTTCAGATTTGGAGAAATGTCGCATTCTATCACTTGCTCACCAATGGATCCTCTGCAGTGAATGGGTGCCATTAGAATGAGAATTCAAACAACTGATAAAAACATAATAATCAATAAGTAAACCACATGATTCCAGTCCATCAATTAACAGCTTGTGAAGTGAAAAGCTGTGTTTGTAAGAAACAAATCCATCATTTAGGTGTTAAACTGTCCCTTCTGGCCAAAATACCAGCCCATAATCCATAAACTTTCTGCTTCACAAGATTTTAATTGATGGACTGCAGTCGTGTGGATTATTGTGATGTTTTTATCAGCTGTTTGAATTTACCTTGGAGCAAATAGGTGTTCCCCCTGATGTAAGTTAAACATATTAATTTGGAAATTAGGGATGACAGATGCATGAACTTCGCAAGATTTGTTAAAAGATATGAAAAAAAGAAAAAGAAAACAGCTTTTATCATCTGTGCACCTTGTGTTAGTATTATAAGTGACTACCACAGCTGTTTCACAGACAGAGAGAGTGAGAGTGAAAACTAGATCCGAAACCCATAAACTGTGAACTAGCACCTGAACTGATTTCGCTCACCTCCTACCAGAGTGCTGAAGAACAAAATGTGTTCAAATGACAATAATCGGTCAAGACAGAGAACAGCTAAGATGCTGAGCTTTGCAGTAAAATTTAATCACACATCCCAAACTCTCCCGAGCAGAATTATCAGGATCCCAAAGAAACGTCAGTTCAAATTTTTGACCAGGTGCATTTCTTGATATATAATCAATAAACCAACATAGTTTGTCTGGACCCAAACAGGTGCCCTGCAGAACTCCTCCAAGTCTGCATTGTATTGGACAGTCAGCAAGCTGCTAGCAGTGGTTTTCACAGAGCAATTTAGGATGACTTCACTGACATGTCCTCTGCAGTATTAATGATTAAAAGTTACATTGGGTGACTTGTCAGTAAGACATTTACATTTCCTCAGTTCATTAGTTTTGAGATTTGCATTAGAGGTTTATATTAGCAGGGGAGATCTGCTCTCTGGAGCATTTAAAAAAAAGTTGTATTCAAAGCATTTTGAAGTAGAAAATTCTGGGCTGGAATCCAGATGCAAACGTTAAATGTTTGCAATAGCTATATACATTGAATTAATATTGTAAGTGATTACACTGTGTTTTACATAAAGTGAAAATCAAAAAACTAATAAGCAATTTCTATCATTTTTTTGCATATTTTGCCAAGCTACATTTGTGGTAATATTTTTAAGCGTTTACACTGTAAATCCTTTAATTGGTGTAAATGTAAATTAAAATCTGCATGTCATGCCAATTTAAGGAATAACACAGTGTAATCACTTCAGAAATATTTATATAATAAATATAAGAGAAATATAGCATATAATTTTGAACAAAAAATTTGTATAAACTGTGTAATAGTTATACACTTTCTTTCTTTATTTTTGAATCTATATGTTACTATTAATGAAAAAAGTGTTTGAACTTTCAAAGTCCTAGATCAAGAGTTCCAAAAATTAACACACACACACACACACACACACACACACACAGAGAGACACAGAAAAGTGTTTTTCTTTCCATACTATGAAGGTTAATGGCTTCACTTTCAAAATATCTTTGTTCCACATAAGAAAGTCACAGAGGCTGAGTAAATGTTGTGGGAATTTAGTTTTTTTGGATGGACTATCCCTGTAAACCATTTTTTGTATATTTTTTCCAGCATATTTTACAAAGCTACATTTTCTCAAATGCTCATGGTGTAAAACAGGCTTTCATTTTTATGTATGAACAGGTGAGAATTGCTTTAATGTCAGGTTTCTTCCATTTGCACCTGCCTTCTCCATTTTTCATTTATGTCAGTAAAATCAGAGAATGTCAAAAGCCCACTTTTAGGTTCTGTTCAGGTGCAGTCATTGACACGTCCTTGACATTCTTGCTCCTTTTGTGTAGAGCAAATTCCGCAATCTATTATGGGATCAATTTTCCGCCAAAAGTATTGCAGTCACAGATAAAAAAAAATAATAAGAATGAAACCAAAATTTAAAAGTGCAAGAAAAATATATTGCACAACATTTAAAAATGAAAGCAAAATTTCAGAATAACAAACAATGGTCACGGATTGAAAAATAATAATAATAACAAAATAATATACATTATGACTGATGAGCTGACGCTTATAGTTTAGCGCGAGTTAGATATCTTCCCCTCTCTGATGCACACAAGAAAATAAAAAAAGGTCTAAAAGGTGCAGCGCTTTTGAAAGTTGTGGCCTGCAGTCAATGGCACATATCAAAGTTGGATTCCACTTATGTACGCTTGGCCCTAGAGTAAATTCAGCCGTGTAAGCAAATACAAAACTCTTTTGGGTGAAGAATTTCAAATGCTTTCGGCTGCCCTGAATTTGAAGGTAGAACACCAAATAAATGCTTAGAAGTAATTTCCCAGCCCAGAGAGGATTTGATGAGTTTAAGGTTAAGTGGAACGGTGACTGCTGGGGCAGCCATAGGCTGTGGATTGCACTCTGAGTAAAGCTGAGATAGACAGAAAAGCAAAATGCCGTAGACTGCATTGCCAGTTCAGTCCCTGATGGCCTGCTTTCCTTGAACAGCCATCCTGTTTTCAGGCAGCACTACAATCCCAACTTTGTTAGATTGTTTTGAGCTATTGGGAGCCCTTTACATTGACACCCCCTGGTTATTTTCTACATACAAATGCATCACTTAGTGTCACATTTATGTATGCTGATCTAAGCGAGCGGGTTTATAGGGAAAAGCGTGCCGAGAAATGGTAATTCGAGATCTTTTTGCTTGCAGGCACAGCTGAAAGTGCTACAATAAGGTCAGATTTTACGTGTACTACCTATAGATGAAGCCGAAGCACGTACGGATGGCCTGTGTGGACATATGATTGATAGCCCCGCAATTCTTTTAAGCACATGCATCTGTGGGACAGGCTAGCGCCGAAGCCGCTTTGTGCGAGTGCCCTGGCGACTAGATCTAGATATTTGTATGCATGTTGTGTTGCTCATCACCATTACGAAAGAAATCTGACCCTCGAGGGAGAGTGCAGAACCATATCTCATGTGGGAAGCAACAGCTCTTTGATGAAATAGAACTGTGTTTACCACAGAAATCTTTCAGCGTCCTCGTATGGACGGCCGCTAACACAAATCTCGGCGATCTAATGAGAACACCACCAGAGCAAATAAACAGATGCTAAGAGCCGCAGAGGAAAATGAGACTCATCTGAAAGTATTGTGTACTGTACAGATGAAATGGCAACAACTGTGAGTTGGTGGGGTTGCTGCACATGATCTGTGAAAGTGGCTGTGAAATATTAATTCCCTTGACGGAAGCTGCACACTTTATAATTAGGCACCATTATGAGTGCAGCTGTACTGAGAACGTACTGAGAGATTCTTGAAAATCGGTGGGTATTGCACATGAATTATAATATTAAACCGGCCGTGTTCTACACTTCTGCAGTGTATTATTTTTTCCCTGAAGTCCAATTATAATATTAGTCAAGGTTTTTTGCACATGATTTAGTTTTACATGACCATTTGAGCATTCTCTTTGACCCTTAGGATTAAACAGGCTGCTTTTGCCACTCTACTTTTAAGACTGTATGTAAATAACCTCTTTGCAATACTGTGATGATTTCTGAATGACCCATTTTTGCAGCTTAGTTATCATAAATGGTCTGAGTGCAGATAGGAAGAAGTTTTGCATTGGGAATGTAGCATTTCAGGATGGTTCAGTTTTTTAACTGGACCATGTATAACCATCTTTAACTTTTAATGTAATTTATAACAGGTTTGTGTTGGATTTTTTATGAAAAAAGAAGCTATTTAAAATATGTTGTTTTTATTTTAACATAACTCACACTTATATAGAAAATACAAAAATTTGTTTGTAAAAAAAAATTTAAAAAGTGAATGACTCTTTTTGATTTGAGTCTGATTGAATTGGTTAGTTGATGGGGATATTATCATAAACTAAAACTATGAAAAACCATTATTTTTGTTAATTGAAAAAGTATAAATATGAAATATTAATATAAATAATAAAATAAAAAAATATATATAATAAAACTTGTTGCCTTAGCAACAAATTCAACTAAGTTGGAGCACTGAAATTACTAACTGGAAATAAATCAAAAAGAAAACTGTATTGTGAAAAAATAAAAAATCATAATCTTAAAAAAAAAAAACTAATGAAAATGGAAAAGCACACAAAAAAAATTTAAAATAAAAACTGAAAATGTTGCCAATTCAAAATAGTAAAATAATACCGGTTCAGGGTCTCACAATGTAATCACAATAATAATAACTTGAGAACTTTATGAGAACTTTCAGAACTTCTTTAAATGAAACAGCATGTTCACTGCTCACATTCTTCAGTGCTGTTCTTCTTGCGTTTGTATATCTTGGTGTGTTAGGATCTGAACAGCACTCTGAAGAGTCTTCTGTCAGAATGGTTCTCCGTTGGGTTACTCCGACTCGAAAGAATCACTTGGCAGTCCCCATGCGAGATCCTTCAGAAGATCAGCCAGTAAGATCTCACTCATATGTATAAACACTTCCTTTTTATTTGCCTTCCCAGTTGAGCCTTTTTTGTTTGTTTGTTTGGTTGATCCTACAGGTACGAGGCAGTCCATCCTGTGCGGAACTGGACGGATATCAAACGCAGAGTGGGGCCATACCGGAGATGTTACGCCTTCACCCACGCCTCCATGCCTGGAGAACCACTGGTGGTGCTGCACGTTGCCTTAACTGAAGACATAGCAAATAATATCCAGGTAAATGCAAATGAAAATCACATTTGTTATTCATCACAAAGAATAATTTATGGTCAAATAGAGTGTAAACGTATTATTGGGTTCATGAAGGGAGAGAGCGTCCTTGTGCAAGACAGGCAGTAAAAATGCTCCAAAACAGCACAATTTGACTAGAATGTACAGATTTGTTCAGTATGGTCCCTGATTCTGCCAACGCCTCCAGTGAGTGCTCCATGAATTTATTAATTTACCATGTGTCTCTTATTTTCCCAGGGAATTGTAAGAGAGTTTTCCACTCTAGACACGGATGAGGATGTGAACAAGATCAATGCGGCCATCTTCTACTCCATCTCCTCCACTCAGGCTGGATTGCAGGGGGTGGAGCTTGGAAATTACCTCATCAAGAGGGTGGTCCGAGAACTGCAGGTGGGCAAATGAATGAGACAATGAATCATAAAAAGTGATGTTCATCACAGCTCTTTAAAGAATTATTGCATACTATGGATAAATAATAAATGCTAGGAAAACAGTCTGCTATTGAGTCGAGTAGGATTTTAAACACTATATTCAAAATATTACATTATATATATGTGACCCTGGACCACAAAACCAGTCATAAGGGTTAATTTCTCGAAATTGAGATTTAACCGAGATACAACTATTTGAAAATCTGGAATCAGAGGGTGCAAAAAAATCTAAATACTGAGAAAATCACCTTTTAAGTTGTCCAAAGGAAGTTCTTAGCAATGCATATTACTAATCAAAAATTAAGTTTTGATATATATATACGGTAGGAAATTTACTAAATATCTTCATGGAAGATAATCTTTACTTAATATCCTAATGATTTTGGCATAAAAGAAAAATCTATAATTTTGACCCATACAATGTTTTTTTGGCTATTGCTACAAATATACCCAAGCGAATTAAGACTGGTTTTGTGGTCCAGGGTCACATATATTATGTGAGTGTGTGTGTATTTTATATTAAAATATATATATATATATTTTTTAAATAATTTTATATAATTAATCAAAAAAATTAATCAAAAAGTTTTTTTAATTATATTTTAATCAAATTTACATATATTGTTTTTTACATTTCAGTGCAAAAATAAAACAAAAATATAAATTATATATATTTACACTGTATAATTTGTATTAATTTTTGTTTTACATTTAAAAATGATTAAACACATTTTTATTTAAATTTAAATATTATTTTTCACCTTCACTTATATTGTTTTTTTTTTCTTTTCTTTTTGCAAAAATAAAACAATGTTTTTCTTTGGTTTTTTTTGCCCCCTTCTCTTGTGATATCAAAGGTATGGAAGCCCGTTTCCGCCACTGAATAAAAAATAAAAGCGGTAATTGCGACTTTTTATCTCACAATTCTGACTTTTTTTCTCAGAATTGCGTGATATAAACTCACAATTGCGAGACATAAAGTCGCAATTCTGAGAAATAAAGTCAGAACTGCGAGATATAAACTCACAATTCTGACTTTTTATCTCGCAATTGTGACTTTATATCTCGCAATTCTGACTTTATAGCTCGCAATTGCAAGTTTATATCTCACAATTCAAAAGACAAAAGTCAGAATTGTGAGATAAAAAGTCTGCAGTTATTTTTTATTCAGTGGCGGAAACGGGCTTCCATACAAAGGTGTTTGGCCCTGGTTTGGGCATTTTGTAAACAAAAACTAATATGCAATTTAATTAATTAATTAATTCAATAAAAAATTTAAATTGAACCTAAAAACTGTAATAACATTAGTATATTTGTCACACAGCATCACCTAGTGCCAGGCATTGTACTTTAGCACATTCCTAGCTGGAAGAGAGAAAAAGCAGGAAAACTAATACAATTTCAGCTGTCACCCTCAATAACATAAAGAAGGAGGGACACATGGCATGTCACAGAGCTCCTGCCTCTTTACTAGATGAAGGCGAAATTAAATGGAAAAGAAACGAGAGGCACTCAGGTTTAGAGATTCAGATGAGTTTTGCTTCAGCGGGAATGTTGGTGAAACAAAGTGCTAGATGGCTGTTTGTGTAATAGAGGTTAACCCTAGTAAAGAGCTCTCTGTGAAGGGCTGCGGTTCTCAGAGAGCTGATTTACCCAGATGAGAGATTGAAGGCATCATTTGAGTGGAAATGGACAGTTGATAGATATTATTTCATGCAAATTGTACATGTTGATGCTCTGGGTTTGTATTTAAATTAGTTTCTGAAGTGTGTGTGCAAATGCAGCTCACTTGTTTTTCTTTGAAAAAAGTACGCTCCATCTTGGTCCATACATATCCATATGACCCTTACAAAAAATGTACTATGGTAACCATAGTTTCCAGCAAAACACCATTGTTGCTCTAGGTATTGTTACTAAGTTTATTGTTACTACTGTTATAAATAGACTTATAAATAGGCAGTTTCATGTTCATATGAGATGAGTTACATGCCAAAGTTTAACAACTTTGTAATTATTGTTGACTGTGAATTGAAATCTGTGAGAAGTTGAAGCTGTTTGTAAAACTTGAGAAAATTTGTGTAAAGTTTATGTAGTTTGGAAAAAAGTATAAAGTACCTGTGAGAGTTTGAGATCATCCTTCTGCTGAAGAAAGAGTAAAGGTGTCTCACCATGCCACAAGGGGACGATTGGCGTGATGGATGGATGATAGACAGAAAAAAAGAAGTGGAGAAAGGTCACAGTGTGATTTAGGAGAATGGGAGGAGGGTTTGCTTGTCTTTCAGCAGAATCCTCATGGGGCTCTTCTGCACTCGCTTTCTATCTTACATTCACTCTCTTCTTGTCCTTACTCTTCATTCTCGCTCTCTGTAGCTTTAAACCTGCTGACTGATGTTTTACAGAAAATTGAGTTGATGAATGAAAAGTGATCTTGGACATGCTTAATCTCCCTTCACTCCTGCCTGTCTGAAGGAATGATGCATGGCAAAGAATGAGAGCGAGAGGGAAGTGTGATGGACTTGAGATGTGGAGGACTTAAACTCTCTGCTCCTCCGGGGCCAGTCTGACACGTTTGGTTTGTTCAGTGCTTTCTTCTTGTTGAATGTGGGCAGAAGAGGGAGAGAAAATGAGCGTGTCTATGTCCTTGTGGGGGATGAGAAAGAGACACAGTGGACTTGTTCAACATGGTTTTTAAATTAGTACAAATGGAGTGCGGATAGAGGATAAAAATAAAGAGAAAAAGAAGAATAAGGAGAGAGGATATAGGTACTTTATATAAAAATATCATGGTTTACACAAAAATATTCAGCAACAACTGTTTTTAACATTGATAATAATAAAAAATGTTTTTGAGCACCAAATCAGCATATTAAAATGATTAGGAATCATGTGACACTGGAATGTTTAATTGTATTAATATTTCACAATGATTTTACTGTATCTTTGATCAAATAAATGTGTTCCTAATTCAAGTTTCACAAGACATGTTCACATTCAGAACTCATTCAATGCAAAAACTGTCTGATTTGAATCTTTAATTAATGAGGTTGAGTGTTTTTGAGTTATTCATTAGTTTGTCAGTTCGTAAGAGTCATTTGCTTAAAATCCGCTCATAATAGTCATTTGTCCATGAATTGAGACACTCCTTGTGTTGTATTTTTTTTAACATGCTGCTCACAAACACAACTCAACAGAAAGATGTGTTTTCTTGCCGTTATTTCAAGGTACACATTTTGGGATCCAATTTGAGCTATACTGTATATTACTATACTCAGTTTTACTGTATTGTAACTATTTTGTTACAATAAATACTCAATTTACTGTAAAACCTATATGACATATATATCATTTTTGGGTGTGTTGGTATAGATATGCATTTGAGAGTTAACGGTCTGTGTTTACCTTTCTGTGCAGAGTGAATTTCCTCACATGGCCCAGTTCTCCAGTCTGTCTCCCATCCCCGGCTTCTTCTTATGGCTACAAGGGGCTCTCGGACAGCACAAGAAGGAGGGACGTGCCATAGAGCTCCTGTCTGAGCAGGAGTGGAGGGAGGTGGAGGATGTGACGGGAGCCGCCCCTGGTGCCCCAGCTCTGGAGGCCCTGCGCAGGCTCATCAGCACCAGCGAGTGGATCCGCTCCGACCGCCTGGTCCGTGCTCTGGAACCTGCCCTAATGCGGCTCTGCGCCTGGTACCTGTACGGAGAGAAACGCCGGGGCTACGCCCTAAACCCTGTGGCCAACTTCCATCTTCAGAACGGCGCCACCATGTGGAGGCTGAACTGGCAAGCGGACACAAGCCCACGAGGAATTGCCAACTCTTGCGGCATAATGGTAAATTATCGCTACTTTTTAGAAGAGACCAGCACAAACAGCACCGACTACCTGCAGAGTAAAGTCATCAAGGCTTCGGAGCAGGTGATGGGCCTGGTGTCACAATTCCAGAAAAACAGCAAACTCTGATTCAAATCTGTGGCTCTGCATTGGGACAAAATGTGTTGGCACTCAAATTCTGTGTTATAATTTTTTTATATTTTTGATAACTCAATGAAGGTTAAGCAAGCCTTATATGGATCTATGACTGAAACCAGCATATGTCACATTTCATTGTTAGTTCAGAAATGGACAGTTGTACTCTGCTTTTCTGAAAGATAATAATCCAATAAATCAAATTTTAAAGGCATAGTTCACCCAAAAATGAAAATTGTCATCATATGCTCACCCTCAAGTTGGTCCAAACCTGTATAATCTTTTTTTCTTTCTTAGAGAATCGGCCTGCAGCTTTTTCATCCAGCAGTAGTTCACAATGGCAACATAATGTCATAGATAAAACATTATTAAAAGTATTAAAGTAGTCCAACTTTTTGTGAAGAATAAATTGAAATGTAAATAATTTTTTGCTCTCAAATTGTTCATGCAAATCACTTATGGCTCAGGTTTGATGTCATTACATGCAAGAACCAATGACATTTGATGATATTGATGTCCAACCTGCATATTTGATTTGTAAGAAATAATCACTTAAATAGCTTGTTTTATAATATTAAGCTATCTTAAGAATACTTTTTAGTTATACAGACCAATTTCTTTTTGGAAATTGACACACTGTGATCACTACCGTTGTATATGTTGTAAACATATACAACTTTATTTTGAGACGACCGTTACTGAAAATGACAAATTGCAGTTTAGTAAGCGAGTCAGAAGTTTATTCAGTATTCTGAAAGATTCAGAGCTCATTCAGTGATGGAACTGTATGACTTAATTCCGTAACTCGGACTGTATTTGAGTGATTTTTTTTAAAAGAGCCAGTTTTTAAGATTCATTTGCTCATGAATCAGCATTTGTTCAGAAATCAAGATACTCTTTGTATTTTTGTAATTATTGCTTGGAACAGAACTAGAGAGAAAGATACATTTTCTCGACATTATTTTGCGGTACACGTGGGTATGGGATTTTGGGATCTGATGTAAAAAATTATTAAATATATACAGTTCAACTATAAAACAATACATAAAATACATATAAAACATTCATATATAAAACAGCTTACAATTTAGAATGACATGAGGGTGAGCAAATGATGACAATTTCCATCTTAAAGTCAACTATCCTTTTTATCAGGTTTACTATTATTACCCAGCATGCTGCTTGGTGAAGTGACAAAGAGATTTCACTTAATTATTTTAGGTGTGCCAAATCTCCACTAATTTCAAGCAAGAAAAGGATAATCGTCCAAATGAATCTATTTTCCTTATTCCTTTTTAAGCAGTGCTTGAGCCTTTGTTTGATTAGCCGGTTGCTGATTTGATGTGGACTTATGCTACACTCTGAAAGACTGGGGATAATGAAGCGGGAAGAATCTATCAGCCCCTGTCATGTCTTTGCCTTCTCAGCGTGTGTATGTAAGAGAGCGTTCCAGCACGACTGAGTGGAAGCTGCTGTAATAAATGATGTTTTGATTCCTTCATTAGTGTGATCTGCTTCACTGTGAAACGGCTTGTCTGTATGTTCAAGTCTCGGTGTAAAAGTGTCTCAGTGTGCGCACGGTTTTGAACATGCCAGCCAAAATATTTATTTACGAATTTAAATTCTGCTTATCTTCCAAAACTGATACTTTCTTTTGTTTCCATTGTAAGCGCATGACGTATTATCTCGGCGGTTTGATCAGTTTCGGGCAATGGAAGTTAACACAGGACGGTACGCTATCTCTTTGGGCCAGATCACATTTGAACAGATCCATTCCTTGGCCGTTTAACAAGTGGTGTTTAACGAGATTTAGCACTCTCCAGCAAGCATTTTATTCCTCCATGACTCCCGTCTCTAGTGTCTGATAACAGACTGCAGTGTTCAAGTAGGCCTCCTGTCTTTTTTTCACTCTATTGTTGTGTAAAGTATCTCAGTGTAAGTTGACTGTGAAATTGCATTTTTACTCTCGAAGGAGGCACACATCTTCTCTCCCCCCGTCCCTCCGTGCGGTGCCCTAGAAACTAATGAAGTGAGAAATACAGTTCAAATAAATTGATAAATTTATGATATTCACTTAAACTAAGCACGGGGTAGAAACAGAACAAAGCGGACAGTGTTTAAAGGATGCCCTTGAGAAACTCCTCCCACAGTGAGGGAGGAAGTGAGGAAAACACATCTGTAGTCTCAGGCCCAAGGCTGGATGGACATACTTCACAACATCAAGTGCTTTACTATGAGGCAAATACATGAGGTCACCATGGCAACTGCTGGGCAACTTGGTATAGCATTCACAATATGGTTCAAACGCAGTTCATTTGTCCTCTTCGGGATTAGTTTTGCCCAAATCTGAGGCTTGTTTAGCTGAAAATATGTGTCTGTTCTGCATTATTTGCATGGTTTTAAGATATTTGACGTGAAGGCTTTTCGTTTTTACCGTCTCACAAAAACATTGGATCAGGAAATGAAGTGTAAAGAGTCCTGATGTTTTTAGCCATCCACGAAGAGGCTTTTCTATACAAGTAAAATGAATACCCAGCATTGTTATGAGCCTCAAAATTGAAGGGAACAAGAATTCGGTTGGAGATTATGACCTAATAAATGTGTTTACTGTGCACTACTTGAAAAAGATGAATTTTGAGGAATTATGGGACGACTCTAGGGAGGACTAAAGGTGTTGCTCATCAAACACACATTTGTATTCGAGCTTTACAAGCCTCAGGTACTTGTTGGTATTCAAACCACGATGCTGTCACACACACACACTCACAGAGATAATAAATAGCAAATTTTAAAGCTGTTATTGAAGAAAATGTGACCATTAGAACAAGTCTCCAAACAATAATAATAATAATTTTAGTAAGTTGTAACCCTAATTCACACTAACAAATCTTTGAAAGCTTTTAAAATCAGCAGTATAGAGCTCACGTGAACAAGAAAGCATTATTAATAAGTTTATAAGCATTATATTTTATTATATTTGTACTGATTAATGTTTACCATGCAATTTTTTATGGAACTATCATTATGTGCTATTATTGTTGAAACTAAATTATATTAATTTCAATCAGAATAAAATGTATCATTATTTATTGATAATCTTAACCAAACAGCTATTGGTTAACATTATTAACCCTGTCTGTGCAGGAGAAAAGCATGATATAGAGCAAGTTACTACATATTAGTACTGGAGAAAAAATGTTGCATTTGTTTTATTAATGTAGGCCTACAGTATTTACCCATATTATTTTGAAAGGATTAAAAATACCTTATGATTTTTTAGGAAAATACCATATAAACAAGTAGAAATAGGCTCTTGGTAGACCTTTTTTCAGACTGGCAGGATTATTCATGTTGTAAATAACGTTCAATAGCTCTTATTCTTGTGTCACTAAATACTAGATACTGATGAAAGTTTTTTTTAGACTAATATGTACTGAATTATGCACAGTAGGTACATCTTTAAGTAAATGGGGTAAATCTGAATACGTTAACTGACATGTTAACGTCATAGTTCATGTATGTACAAATGTTCAATACATTTGAAAATATGCAAATATACATTGTCTGAATCCAACTGTATCCCTGAGCAACATAGTCTATTGTTCCTAAATGAACGAGTGTTGTTGAACAAATCATTACAGTGAATGATTCAATGGCTCACTCATAAAAGCAAGTCTCTTGTTCCAAGATGAATCGATATTGTTGTACAAATTAGTTGAGTGATAATTCAATGACATAAACATACTTGTTTAGTTCCTGAATGAATCAGATTTGTTGAGTGACTCGATTGAGTAATGACTCGATCATCGCTGATGTATGGATGGAACCTGCAAAAAGAGGCAATGAAAAACACCCACCACTAACACACAGACTCTGTCTTAAACATGCAAACGCAGACAAGCCTAGTGATACAAACAGTGAAAAGTCTCAGTGCTGTTGGACTGTTATAGACACTTTTGGCTCGCTGTTCCAGACAGTGACCGGAACTAACTGTTATATAACAAAAGTTATGTAATATAATGCTAGTTGTTGTTAATACTGCATCACTTTAAAAGGCATTAGTGATCTGCCTGTCCAGAATAGCAGCACAGGATCTAAACACAAGGCCTTCTAGACCACAAAGTGCATCACATAGTGACCTGAAAGATTCAGTACAACATGTTAATCAACAAACCCACAGCTGCTAGCCAACCGCACATTAACATTTTAGTGCCCATTTGTTAATACGCAATTACGGGCAGGATGGATTAGGAGGCACTTTACACCCTTTTTAATGGCTGTGAGCTTGTCATTACAGTTAAGTAAAGCACATGCTGAACAATGTTCTATTGTCTTGTTGCAAAATTTCCAACAGCACATTAATCAATTTACTGTTTGATTGCCATTCTTATGAATTCCACATGCAGAAAATATGGGAATTCTCATTTCCATTATTAATGTTGTAAATAATGTTCAATACCTCTTATTCTCGTGTTACTAAATAAATCAAGATACTACATACTGATGAAAGTTTTTTTTTTTTTAATGTAGACTAATGTGTTCTGAATGATGTACAATAGGTACTTGTCTTAAAACAAATGGGGCAAATCTGAATTCATGTTGATTGACATGTTCGTGTACATTCAAATGTTCAATACATTTGAAAATATGCATTGACATACTATATGTTCAGCTTTGTACAAAGTTTATTCTGAATCCCTGAGCAACAGTCTTGTTGAACAAATCAGTACAGTGAATGATTCAATGACTCATACAGTAAAGACAAGTCTCTTGTTTCATGATGAATCAGTATTGTTGTACAAATTGCTTGAGTGATATTTCAATGACTGTACTTGTTTAGTTCCTGAATGAATCAGAGTTGTTAAGTGACTCAATTGAGTAATGAGTCAATCATTACTGATGTATGGATGGAACCTGCAAAAAGAGGCACTGAAAAAAAACCCCACTAATACACAAACTCTGTTTTAAACATGCAAACACAGACAAGCCTAGTGATACAAAGAAGAGTGAAAAGTCCCAGTGCTGATGGACTGTAATAGACACTTTTGGCTCACCGTCCCAGTGACCGGAACTAACTGTTATGTAACAAAAGTTACGTAATATAATGCTTTGTTAGGTATTAATACTGTATCGCTTTAAAAGGCATTAGTGATCTGCCTGTCCAGAATAGCAGCACAGGATCTAAACACAAGGCCTTCTAGACCACAAAGTGCATCACATAGTGACCTGA